AGCAGCTCCTGTTTCTTTTGATTGTGTGTGCCTCACTAGTATGAACCTGCTTACCGGCAACAAGGACACTGAATTGGCAGAGTCTCCAATGTTTTTGGTAAAGCAATCAATGCTTACTTGAAAAAATCCCTTTCATGTAGCGAGTGCTGCCTTCTGTCTGCCCATCACTTCCAACAACTTCCTGGTTTCCCAGTGTGCTTTGCGTCTCTTTCCCTGCTGCTTGATGTGATGCAATCTTGATTTTTCAAGACTACGTATCAAATTATGCACTGCTTCCAGCAAGCAATGATAATGTTACATTGTTCAGATGTAACCTAGGGGCATCTTCAATAAGTAAGTTTAGAAACTTCCTATTAGGAGTGGTATAGAACTTATGGAAATTCAATATAGAAATACAGATTTATTTTTTTGACCATAGGTAACCTTTAATTACATGATTAAAAAGACAGCATACTGTAAATATTGTTACAAAAGTTTGCCAAGTGAGCATCCCTATTGGCACAGCAGGTGTTAAAGCAAAAGGGTACATGGAGAGTGTAAAGCTGATCATACACTGATACAATTTCAGCCCATTCCTGTGAATTGGCCAAAATTCTAACTGTGGGAGGCCCTGCCAGCATCATCCAGCTCAACATACTTTGACTGAAAAATGGAAGGATCTGGGTGGAAAATTGACAGTCAAACAGTGATTGTAGCCAACCAACTGCAGTCACTGGTTGTGTATTCTAAAAGCCGCTGTCAGATTACAATAGCTCAGCGTGGATGGAGGAATCAAATGTGTTTTCTCGTTCAGCCCGTGGACAGAGTGTTCAGTCAGCCTAATGGCTTCTAGGTTGTCTGGAACACACAGTACCAGGTGCTTCATTCTCGTTATAGGCCAACATCTTTACAGAGCAAAGGTTTGCTAAACCAGCTCCTAACAAGCCTAAGGTAATTCAAAGCTCAACACAACTTTCAAACTGCAGGGATTGTAGTCCACATACATGATTTCTCTCATTAGGCCCTAAGGAAAGGGGGGGGTTTTTGGAGCCCCAGAATGCATTGGCTACTCTCCTTAATTGCCTCCTGACCCTAGTAGAATGAAGTTGTATCTGGACTACTTTAAAGTGACACTAAACTCAGGAGTTATATCTTAAAAATGAATTCAAGTACCTTAACTATTAACAAAATGTATCTTATTTGTGTATCACTCGGCTGTAGATCCTCAAATCATCTCTGAATTGGTGCTGACACTGTCCTTCCTTCTGGTGGGTGGCTACTTTTGTTCCCCATGGTCACTGTGTGTGTTGTAAAGTAGCCACTGCTCCAAGCTCACTCCTGTGATGGACTACAAGGTCATGTTTAGTTTACTAATTTGTAATACATTTTAGTAATTTATTTTAGTCCTTGAGTTTGATCACACAGGGATTTTCTTTATTAATGAGTTCAGGTTGTACTATATCACTATGTTTTATTAGGCTATGGTGTGATGAATTGTGATGTTTAGGATCTCTTCCTACATTATATTAATGTATACACACATGAATTGAGATTATTGATTCCTCTATATTACTTATAGATTATTATTTACTGTATAATTTCATATTATATAGCATGGCTTGCACATTATTTATTTTTGTTATGCTTTATATTGACAATTTTTGTATTATAGTTTACCTATTTTCTGTATATTACTTTACAAGAG